TGCCTTCTATACTCACTGTGGCCCGGATGAGAGGAGGTCCGTATCAGGTGGAGTAGGCCGCAGATGCCCGCCGCCACTGGGAGTGGCAATATACAGCGGTGCCCCTCTCCCAGACTCAGGGGATGCAGAGGGTGCCTCCGATGTCCTTGGGTGATCCACTGCCACCCGGATTGCAGTGGGTTCAAGTACGAGGCACCGGAGTCCCGGATCATGCGGCCGCGGATGTCCGCCGTTACAGAGGGTGGAAATATCGCCCGGAGCCCCTCTCCCAGATACAGGGGATGTCACCAGGAGCCTCCGCTGCCCCATTATGGTCCGCAGCTGCAAGGATGGCAGCGGATTGTGTGGATCAGCGCCAGAGCTCCGGATTATGCGGTTGCTCCGGTCGCCATCTTGAACACGCCCCCCCCCCGATAGAACAGTTTTTTTAAATCGTATATACATATATTTTGATAAAACGTTCTGTGCAAACACACAACCACACAAAAAGCGTGAAAAACAAGTGAAATAGTGAAGCACTCTGTGTACACTCCTATATACACACTTCTCTGTGAACACATCTATGTGGCTGAATTGCATACCCTTACCCTAAATAAGTGATTTAAAAGCCTCCAGAGAGAATATTCCAGTGGATCCTCACTTCATCAGAAATTATCCCACAGGATTTACTTCAGATCCCAAGTTATCCCTTTCTTCCTCTCATGCCTTAATGTATCTCGGTGCCATCCATAGAAAAAAATAGCCATATGTTGTAGAATATCAAGTTATAAACAAGATCCAGACTTTATTCTATGTGCTTACATTCATAAAAGGTTAAAAACGCATATATTTCCCACTTCCCATACACAAGCAGCTTCCTGGAACGCCAAATGTAGTGTAACTTCACTTAAGATGGCCGCTCCGCCACTTCCGGTTATCGTGTGTGTCCCTTGGCACGTTTTGTCACTTCCTGACTTCATCATAAGGGGTCTATTAATTAAAATATATTTATATATGATTTAATCACTGTTATATTGAGGATAACACACTATCCAGTTTTTAGGTTTTTTTTTTTTTAACTATTTTTCTGAACAAATGTATCATGGGCAGTATTTAAAAGGCTTAAACCGCTGTATTACGGCCACTAGATGGTGATGAGGCACTTAGGAAATGCATGTCTTTGTAAAAAAGCACAAATTCTGGTGAATGTTAGAGCAAATAAATGTAACCAATGGTTACACTTTGACACAGTGACTATATTCAACAAAAGACAATTGGGGTCCATGTACCTAAAGGGGGCACTTGGTGATTAAAAAAAAAAATTTTTGCAGGGGTTCTCACCCCTTTTTATCAAGCAAGGTTTACACGCTGTAAAATGTTTTCCTTGGCTCTACATGTGTTTTGTAATATTGAATGTCAAATATTGCATTATAATTTAGGCACCTCTACTGCTTCAAAAGCTCAAAACCAATAAAGTCTGCAAGCTTTTAATCTTCAAATATGCACTACTATAAGTACTCTAAGGCAGAAAGTCATGTTGGGTTCTAATTTTGCATTTACAGATTTGAGAGTCCTAAGCCACAAGGAAGACGGCGATCAACAGGGCTTGATTCTGAAAATTTTAAGGTATGTTTATTCTCATTTTCTTTTTCAGCAATGTGTGCATGTGTGTTTTTTAAAACAATATATAATTTTTTTAAATTTGTCTTTCCAGTTATTTGCCAGTAACCAGTCTGATGACACAAGTAAGATTTTGTGTTTTTAAGTATTACTAAAATTTTATGTTGTCCAGCACTGAAACCTTTTTATATTAAAATTGTCCATGTATTTACGCAGATGAAACTGTGCGGATAGGAAGTATAACTAGTAAAGTCCAGAGAAAATCTGAAGGAAACGTGACCAGAACAACTCATACTCGCCGATCGCTGCAGGCATCTTCGTCAGAGGCAAAGAAGGACCATTCTCCTTTTGGTGAACTCTATGAAATGCTTAAAAGCAAGGTAGAGTCTAGGAAAAAAGAGAGCAGTCAGACCCCAGTAAAGGAAAGTAGCAACTCTCCAAAAAATGTGACCATTAAGAGGAATTTACAGGCCGAAGAAATTTCTCCTGCCACATCCAGGCGAAACTCAAAAAGAAGTCAGTCAAGCGACAGCGCAACCGTTCAAAGCAAAGGTACAAAGGTGGAACGTAGATCAGTTTCTGCTGACCAGGTCAGGGAACAGTCAAAAACCCCCTCCAGAGGACCAAGAACCTCGTTAACAAAACCGATGCAAGGCAGTACAATGGAAGTGATTAGTCCTGTTATTTCAAACAAATCTGTGCCGATCAGCTCAGCACATGAAGAGGCTGCCCAGACTCCACGAAGAAGATCTGGCAAACAAGTATCTAGTTCTCAAGAACAAGGGCCTGCAGTTGCCTCTTTGGAGAAACAATCTCCCAGAAGATCTAGAAGTGCTGGAGGAATTCAGGCAGTTGGTCTTGTGCCTTCACCAGCTGGTTCTAGCCATAGAAGAAGCCGAGGGCAGTCAGTTCCTCTGACAAATGGTATAGAGAACCAAGAAAATTCACCACTGCTAGTTCAATCCCCTAAGGGTAGACGAAGCGGCTCTAAAGATCAGACTAGGGGCACACCATCTAAGCCTGTTGAAACTGCAAATAAACCTGTTCAAGGTAAAGACTTGTTATACATTTCATGTGTTTTTTTTTTTTTTTTTTTTTTTTAATTTGGGATTTTTAAAGCAGCATTAAACCCAAAAGCAGGGGGGAGAGCCTTAAAGGGAAAACTAATGCAGCCACCTTTTTATAAAAGGATTGGTAAGTTGCAAAATTATATTTTTTGGTTTTAAAACTGCTTTCAAGTTCCAGTTTTAAGGACAAAAATGAACAGCTATATGCTGTTTCAGCATACATAATAGTGTTTGGCTTTTTTCTATAATAGGTGTAGCATAAATCTTTGCAACCAATGCCAAAAATAAAGTTGCCCTTCAAAAAAACTTAGGTCACCTTCCCCCGCTGCCATGCTCTGCTTTAAAGAGAATTTGCCAGTTAAGGAATCTTCAGAAACCGTTTTGGGCGTTTGGATTCTTGGTCTGTGCTATGTTTTAAGGTTTAGTCAGCTGGGCTGTATGTCGCTACTGTGTCCTGTATTTTTTGAGTTGGCGATTTTTCTCTTCTTGGTAGGAGCTCTTTGCAGGTGCAGCTTTATTTTAAGATTTTGATTTTAGTGACCGCTGCTCCAGGGCACAACAAGCGACTGTTGAATTAGACTACATTGAGAAAGCAGGAATGCGTTATCTTTGAACTATTTATACACTTTTACTTCAAGGATCCGGTGTACAGCCTATTGATAGTATTTTTAAGCTCCTCTTTTTTTTTTTTTTTTTTTTTTTATATTTTTTCTTCAGGATTTTAAATTTTCACCTTTTTTGCCTTGTTTCAAGAGTAGCAAAGTGAGTCAAAAACATCTGTGTAATGGAGTGTTTAGAGACTTGCATTTAACCTCCGTGCACTTGGGTATGCTTGTCAAGAGAAACATGAAGGATGCTATTGCTTTCTTTTATGCAGGTTGCCTGGTTGTTGTGCTAATGCTTTGGATTCCCTACTTGTGAAATGCTCTGTGTTAAAAGCTAAAAGTAAATTGATTCAGTGGCTTTGCAAAAGGGGATAAACTAGTTAATGCATCTTATGAGTCCAACTTAGTTGGAAGACCGCATTGAACATTTTATATTAAATGTAGCCTTATGTATTATTTTATCTATCTACATTTTCAGTGTTGTGGGTTGTTTTTTTTTTCTTCTTCCTAAGGACTTGCAACAAAATCTCCAAAAAAAACGACGTAGTGATGAGCTTGGCCTGACTGAACCACCCTTTAAAAGGAAGAGAGTCTCTTTTGGTGGACATCTGAGCCCAGAGCTTTTTGATAAAAGGCTTCCTCCAAATTCTCCCCTAAAGAAGGGAGCAACTCCTGCTAGACGAAGCTTATCACTCAACTCCCCTCGTGCTGTCATTCGGAAGAGTTTTGGTTTAAAGCAGACTGTAATAAGGGTAAAAAAACAGCTATTTATTAAAAGTGTGTAAATGACTTAACATTTTGCATGGATGTGTAAAAATGTCTTTTTTTTTTTTTTTTTTTTTAGGAAGTTTTTGAAGCATCTGCTACTCAAACCTCTCCGCTAGTTGCCTCAAAACAAACTAGGAGAACTTCAGCCTCTAGAGCAGCACAGAATCCATTGCCTAACAGATCATCTAATGCAGTCACAGCAGAGGCCTTGGTGTCCTCTCCAAAAAGGAGATCTTCAGCTGTAAGCAAGAAGTCACCAAATAAATCTTCGTTCTCTATTGCTGTAACACCTGTTAAGCAATCACCAAACAAGAGATCTCCATCCAAGGCTGTGTCCCTTACACCTCTTAGAACCTCTCCGTCCACTCGTTCACCAGTTATTTCTCCATCCAAGACTCCTGACAGGAAGACGCCAGAAAAATCTGAGCTCACAACTTCTTCCAAGAGGTCCTCTATCTTAAACTTGCCAGATTCTGCCAAAAAGTCACCAGTAAAATCCTTGCCTCCCACCCCTGTTGGGAAAACGTCAGCGACCATATCCACAACACCAGCTAAGAGATCTCCTTCAACCAGATCTCCTTCCAGGTCTCCTATCCCAGTGAAGAAGTCGACAAAATCTGAAGCCACTACACCTGCTAAATCGTCCACCCCAGGCAAGAGGTTGCCAGGAAAATCTCCATCCACTACTCCTGCTAAGCTGTCCACCCCAGGCAAAAGGTCTCCAGCAAAGTCCCTTTCCACAACCTCAGGCAAGAGGTCACCAGGAAGACCTCCAACCGCAAGTCCAGATAAAAAATCTCCTGCTAAATTGTCCACCCCAGGCAAAAGGTCACCAGCAAAGTCCCCAACCACAACGCCGGCCAAGAGCTCACCAGGAAGACCTCCATCCGCAAGTCCAGCTAAATTGTCCACCCCAGGCAAAAGCTCACCAGCAAAGTCCCCATCCACAACTCCAGCCAAGAAATCTCCTAAGTTAACCACCCCAGCCAAGACGTCACCAGGAAGAACTCCATCCGCAAGTCCAGGTAAAAAATCTCCTGCTAAACTGTCCACCCCAGGCAAAAGGTCCCCATCCACAACTCCAGCAAAGAAATCTCCTAAGATAACCACCCCAGCCAAGAGATCACCAGGAAGACCTCCATCCGCAAGTCCAGCTAAAAAATCTCCTGCTAAACTGTCCACCCCAGGCAAAAGGTCCCCATCCACAACTCCAGCAAAGAAATCTCCTAAGTTAACCACCCCAGCCAAGACGTCACCAGGAAGAACTCCATCCGCAAGTCCAGGTAAAAAATCTCCTGCTAAATGTCCACCCCAGGCAAAAGGTCCCCATCCACAACTCCAGCAAAGAAATCTCCTAAGTTAACCACCCCAGCCAAGAGGTCACCAGGAAGATCTCCATCCGCAAGTCCAGCTAAAAAATCTCCTGCTAAACTGTCCACCCCAGGCAAAAGGTCCCCATCCACAACTCCAGCAAAGAAATCTCCTAAGTTTACCACCCCGGGCACGAGGTCAACAGGAAGATCTCCAAATAAAAAATCTCCTTCTAAATTGTCCACCCCAGGCAAAAGGTCGCCAGGGCGACATCCATCCACAACCTCTAAGAAGTCTCCTGCTAAATTAACCCAAAGCAAGAGATCTCCAGGAAAATCTCCATCTACAACCCCTAAGAAGTCTGTTAATCTCTCAAAATCTCCAGCATCTGCCAAAAAGTCGCCAGCCTTGTCCCCAAAGCGCTCTCCATCCACACCATATACCAAAGGGCGATTCTCAGTTTCTCGTGTGAATACACCACCCCAGTTAGTACAAAATGTTTCTGCTTCACGAACACCAAAGCAAACTCGGAAGTCCTTGACATCAAAGAAGACACCACTCCGAAGAAGCAGAAAACTTGATGCCTTTGAAGTTATTCGTGCCAGAAGGCGCAGTGGTGCCTCAGAGGCCAACTTGTTTGGTAAGTTTTTCTGGGTAGGTAAAGGATTTTTAGTATACAAATGTCAATGGATATGTGAAACTGAATAGAATTAGGATATCTTCTAAAGCTAAACTCAGGTCATAATGCAAAATACAGTTGATACATGTATATGGGCCCTTTTTACAGGATTGTCTACCCACTCCTGAGAATCAAACAGGCAGTACAGTCAGGTTGGTAACCTCTTATTTGCAGTTTGACCACCAACCTTGCCTCCTTGCTATACTGACACTTTAAAGCATATATAGAGCAATTTTTTTTTTCTTGTTTTGGATAGTAAGAAGGGCTTAGAACAGGGGTGGGCAAACTTTTTGACTTGAGGGCCGCAATGGGTTCATATATTGGACCCGGGGACCGGACCAAGAGTAGATGAATGATGTGTATGTGTCATCCATAGTAAGTATAGTAATATTCCCCCATAGTAAGCATAGTAATTCATCCCCCCTATAGTAATTCATCCCCCATATTAATTCATCCCCCATATTAAGTCCCCAAGTCCCCCCTGTGTCAATTCACTTACCTTTGCTCCGCGCGTTCCTCTCGCCGTGAATCCCGCGCCATTCCGGTGTAGCATGAAAATCTGTCTCCTATGAGGATCTGTCCCCCTCGACGTATCTGCGCATGTGCCAGTTTCAGGCATTAGCAGCCGATCGGCGATGTCCGGCACATGCGCAGATACGTCGAGGGGGACAGATCCTCATAGGAGACAGATTTTCATGCTACATCGGTCTTCAGGGCGGACTGTGAGACGAGCCTAGCGGGAGCCTAGCTCCGCGGGCCGGATTAAAAGGTCCTCCGGGCCGGATTAAAAGGTCCTCCGGGCCGGATTAAAAGGTCCTCCGGGCCGGATTAAAAGGTCCTCCGGGCCGGATTAAAAGGTCCTCCGGGCCGGATTAAAAGGTCCTCCGGGCCGGATCCTCCGGGCCGGATTAAAAGGTCCTCCGGGCCGGATTAAAAGGTCCTCCGGGCCGGATTAAAAGGTCCTCCGGGCCGGATTAAAAGGTCCTCCGGGCCGGATTAAAAAAGGTCCTCCGGGCCGGATTAAAAGGTCCTCCGGGCCGGATTAAAAGGTCCTCCCGGGCCGGGGCCGGATTAAAAGGTCCTCCGGGCCGGATTAAAAGGTCCTCCGGGCCGGATTAAAAGGTCCTCCGGGCCGGATTAAAAGGTCCTCCGGGCCGGATTTAAAAGGTCCTCCGGGCCGTATACGGCCCGCGGGCCGTAGTTTGCCCATTGCTGGCTTAGAACCACTGTTGGGTTTTTTCTACTGCAACCCACAGAGTACAGGCTCTCCATAAAAATGGAGAGTTCAGTGCATGTGTGGGTCCAGGTTGCTGGTGCTTCAATGGATTGAGAAGTGGTGAGTAAAGGACTTGCTGGTGGCATAGTAGGGAAAAGGTTTAATGGGTGCCTTTTTAAGATACGTTATGCGGTGTTTGACTTTCCACACATTTCAGTAATGTTTTGTAATTTGTCCTCCCATATTTTATTTTCTTTCTTTATACAGTGGCTAAGTCATGGGCTGATGTGGTAAAAATTGGTGTTGCAAAACCGCAAAAGAAAACTGATAAACCTACTCAGAAGAAGGCAGTGGCTACTAAGAAGATTACAAAGAAGAAACCCAAGTTGAAGGTACTAGTTTGTCTTCTTTTAGTCACTGGGTTTATTTAGTTGTGTTTTGTGTAGTTCACACTTTTCATTTTTGTGCTTAGACTCCTGCTAGACGAGTAAAGGATCTGTCCAGCACAGGCCATGCAGACTCTCCTGCAACTATCCTTATTGGAAGAGCTCACGCAAGAACATTGAACTTAACCGGACACGTACCAAAGGTGGTCAGAAAGGCTGTGAAAGTGAACCCTGCTCATGATGAAAGCTTTACTGGTGCGTAACTGTCTTCCAGACGACAGTGCTGTTGGCCTTAGATGGTTATTGTAAGATTTTATCAAAGGGTACTGTGAGGTCTGAGCATGAATAGTCAGGTATGTCACCAGCACACTAGGTCAATTACACCCTGAAGTTTTTGCATGGGACAAGGGAGTGCAATGTCGTCTTTTAACAAACTCCTTCATAAAGGCAGCAGTCACTGTTGTCTTGGTGAAGCAGTTCTCCTGAGGCCCTCAAATGTCTTTTGGCTGTAATATTTTGGTTGAAATTGGCCTTGTGTGCTGCTGACGACAGATCTTAGTCTGCATTGGCTTGTTTTACGATGTCACTTTGGCTTCTAACATCAGTATTGTACTTACTTTTCCTGTTGGCTATGTTCTGTTTAAAGGTTAACACAATACACTGGTTTCTGTGGGTGCACAGTCCTTGTGGCTAAGTCCTTGTACCTCATGTTTGAAATATGGCAAGGGGAGCATAGACTGTAAATGGTGGTTCATTCACTTTGTGAGTTTTTTCTTTTGTATAGCTGTTTGCTGTTGTGCATTCCTCTCCACATATTGAATTGATACTGTGATGGTAAGGACATTATGTATTATTATGTATGTATTGTTTCCATTTTAGGCATGGCTCAGTTATTCAGCACACCTGTGAATGCAAAACAACGGAGAAGTAGCAGATTTGATGGTTCTAAAGCAGGCACACCAAAGTCAACAGTTGAAATGTCTGTTATGCAGACACCTGAGGAGGCAGGTGAGTACTAGAACTTGCATAGTCAGGAAGGTTTGTAGCTAATCAACTTTTTTTTTTTTTTTTTTTTTTTCTTCTTCTTTGCACTAATCTGATTGTGAAAAAGTTTGTACTTGTTTCAATCATTTTGCATTGTACATTTATTACTGAGCACATTGGTCTAGCCTTTTTTGTCACTTTCTTTAAGGCTAGATCCTCACATTTTGCACCCACAAAGTTGAATTTGAAGTGGTTGTATATCCTAACCATGAACTTTTGGTTGTCCAGTCTGTTAAATATACCATTTTTGAAAGGGTTTTGTTATCTGACCAATTTAGTGCAAGTAAAAAAAAAAAACAAACTTTTGATCCCGCCAGAAATCCTGCGAGCTCATAAATACTGTTTTCGCGGCTTTACTGTTAGTTCCCGGCTGTCTGTGCACTAACAGAACACTTCCTTCCATGTTGTGGAGGTGTTCTGTAGTCCTAAAACCTGTTTGTCCTAGGGTGACCATACTAATGCTCCAGATACAGTAAGTGAACATTGTATTCTCTAGGATAGGTGACCACCTCCATCAAGACTCTAAAGGACTTGACTGGATGGTCAAAGTCACAGCTTCTTTAATGGTTTTTGAAAAGTAATGGTTATTAAATACACATGGATTTGCTTTAATATGTTTGGTTTTTTTTTTTTGTTTTCCCCCCAGATGAAATGGTGGTTTCACCATTAAACAGTCCTACCACAACCCAACGAAAGCGGTATGGCAGAGATGCTGTTTCTAGGCTTCTGGAAGTTTCACTGTCACCAAAGTCAACTAAAGTTAATGGTACCGTGTCTCAGAAAGTTGGGCAAGAACCCTCAAAGTCTGCTAGCGAAAACCGGAAATCAGTTGGACTTACAGGGGTGAAACGCATCATGAGAACCCCAAAGCAAAAGGGAAAACCTATTACCGATCCACATGCACTGAGGAAGTTGTTGAATACACCAAAAGAAACTGAATCCACTCAAGCATACACCCGTAGATCAGCTAAACTTGAAGTGCTTGGCATTGCACAACTTCTGAAAACCCCTAAGCAGAAGGGAGAACCTGTGGAAGATTACACTGGTATCAAGCGCATCATGCGGACGCCTAGGGAGAGAGTACAGCCAGTGGAAGATATGGTTGGAATAAAACGGCTAATGCAGACACCAAAAGAAAAGGGAGAGGCGGTGGAAGACATGGTTGGAATAAAGCGGATAATGAGAACTCCCAAAGAAAGAGGGCAACCTGTAGAGGATATGATTGGAATAAAGCGCTTAATGAGGACACCCAAAGTGAGAGGGCACCCAATTGAGGACATTGACTTAAGTCACTTAATGAGTAGGCATGCTGACAGCACCCAGTCAACTGAAAATACCCGACCAATAGAGGAGATATTTGGCATTAAAAATCTAGTGAAATCACCTCCAAAGAAATCTGTAGCTGAACAGGTAATTCTTTTTGGCATACTGCAAAACTAACAATCCTTGGTTAAAGCAGGAATTAAGTGCAAAGTTAGTCAGGTTGTTTATTGTAGACACACTGGAGGAGATTTTCTTAGAATTGGTGCACCGAAAATCTAGTGGAGCTGTGCATAGTAGCCAATCAACTTTTTAGATTTTATTGTCAAAGCTTAATTCAGCAATCTGAAGTGAGAAACTGGTTGCTCCCAGCAGCACCAGTTATAGCAGATCTCCCCTATTATGTCTCTTCTGCAATAAAACAAACTTGCCTGCCTGTTTGCAGTCTTATTTAGAATGTACACTAAGCTGAACTTGTGCAGCCCAGTATGTATTCTCAGCACACCAATACAACGGAATGAATGAACTCCTGTGCATTGTGGGAGTTGCATCATTCATCAGCCTGGCAACCAGAAGAGGCTGGGGTTGTGCCGACAAAGCTCTTTTTGGACATTTTAGTAAGTGCTAGAAGAAATTTGTCTGACTTGGTGTTCTGTACACACTCTGATTATGCTAGTTTTCTTATATCCTTCTGTGGACCATTATGGAGAGACCAGCCATCCATATTTCCTCAAGTCTTTTTTTTTTTTTTTTTTTTTTTTTTTTTTTTTTTTTTTTTTTGGGGGGGGGGGGTTCACTCCTTCGACTTGGATGTAGAATAAGTTTATAAATCTACCAGGGTGTGGAATCCCCCAAAACTCCAAGATGGGCAGCAACTTTGGAAGCGAGACCACCCTCCCTAGAATTCAGCTTTCAGTCAGATGATTTAACCTGCTGGACTTTATGGAAATAACTCTGCCAGTCTTGTTGAGATTTTGTTTTCTTTCCCTGTTTACGAATTGATGGGCTATTACCTTTTTGTGTTTTGCAACAACTGGTAGAGCTTCGCATAACCATTTTTTCTTGTTTACAGGTTTTCACCTGCAGTCCCAGAAATGCCAGTGAAGCTTTAAAATGTAAGTTTACCTTATTATAGCTTGTGATTTTTTTAATGGTTGAAGAATGAGTGCTGCTTGACTGTTCACCTGGTTGGAAACGTATGCTACAGCGTATAGCTTTTTATTATAGCTAGCTGTGTGACTTTTTGACTGGGCAGCTTTCAATGGTTCATATAACCACAGATTTGTCATTACAACTTTCCCCATAAGCTCTGCTCCCTGCTGCAGTAAAATGTAACCAGGTCTGAAAGATACCTTCACTGTAAAAAACCGTAGCTTTAGAGTTGCGGTAGCTGGTCGTGTTGCTAGATGTTTGGAGAATAGGTCATGTAATCTCTGCTGAAAGAAAAGATTGGTCCATCTGATGCAGAAATCCTGTGATTTAGGTGTGACCATGTGATTGGCTGATGTGGTTTTTGGTGAACAAGATTGCAACGTATAGCTGGAGACTCATTTGACTGACTTTAATTGATTTCGAGGGCTTTTGCCAAGTATGGCTTACTGCCCACTATTTTTTTAAATTTGGCTAGCAATTGGACATGACACATACCATACTATAGACCGCAGCCTATAGAGAAATCTATGGTGTTTGTCAAGAGACTAGGAGTGGTGACATCACATTGTCACATGACTGTACTCAGAACCGGCAATCTGCTGCTAGACCCACACATTAGTAATAGGAGAAAAATCCCGAGTTTTTCATCAAATTGGGAGAGTAGTAAGGGAGTATTGGTAGCATAAGTATAGATAATGAAGGGGGTGCCTGTAATACGTTAGGCAGCCCATTCAATTAGGATGGTTTTAGCATAACACTAAATATGGCGTTTGTAACCAAGTACATAGTATTGCGTTCTAATGCACTGCAACTCAAATCTCTTGGCAAGGTGTGTTGGGGTGCTATCAAGATTGAATGTCACCAACCCATTTTTGCATGTTTCACTAGTGCACATGACTGTAGCCCAAAGGTGTAAACCCAACTGAAAGCAAATTGACACTTGTGCTTCTTACTATACTAAAGTGTGTTGTGTTTTTTTTTCTTCTTTTTTTTTTTCCCCTAGCTACTGGAGCAAGTTCTAATACTCCTGTGAAGAGAGGAAGACCTTCCAAGCGCCTTTCCCTTCCAGTTGAAACTGATACTGCAGGTATGGCACCTGCCTGATGTATATTTTTTATTTTCTGTAATATTCCTTACATTGCAGCTTGCCAACAACACTTTAAGCCTCTTAAATCCAACAAAGTGCCAGTTTTAAATGGCAAAACTCAACTATTTGCAAAGTAAAACATTTTCGGTGCAATCTTTACATAGGTATATTGAGATGTAGATGTTGATTCGAGGTTAGTAATTACGTGGTGCAAGAAATTGCTTGGACCTGAGGAAACACATCTCTCCACAGTGCGAGCCATTTATTACTTTTACAACAATACAATTTATCCTCTTTGGTTTATACAGATATTGGATAAAGTCAAACTCCTGCTAAATACACAGTTGAAGTACATGTAAATTGTTTTATATACCAAAATATTTGAAAGCTTTTTAGACTGTCTTGTTATTTGGTTGACAGTATGGTTTCAGCCTCCTGTGTCTCAAACTTACTGGTTTATATGTTCCAAGTTCCTCCCAAATTCCCCTTTTTAAGCTTCCGATGTCTTGTATAGATTTTTTTTTTTTTTTTTTTTTTTTTTTTTTTTTTTTTTTTTGCAATAGAACCCGATACGAAGGCAACTTTCACACTGAGGAGTTTTTGTGCATTAAAAAAAGCACCTGAAAAGTTCAAGAAAAAGGCTTTCCTTTTTGTATGTGAATGTATATCTATACATGTTTTCACACTGAGGCGGTGCAGTGTAAAAACTCCTGCTTGCAGCATCTTTGGGGCATGTTTGGTCAGTTAGTCCCAAAAGTGCCTTTTCCCATTGAAATCAATGGAAAGCACCTGAAAAACTCCTGAGAAACGGTTTTTTTTTTTTTTTTTGTTTTTTTTTTATGGTGCAGTTTTTAAGTCATGGCCTTTAAAAACACTCAAAGTGCGATTAAAATGGCCTGTGTTTTTGCAGTAGGTCAGTGTGAAAGTAGCCTAAATGTGTAATTTCCCACTGTTTTCTGAATGTTACAGTAGGTAATACAAGTATCAATTGTAGGCAAGTCTAGTAGCATTATAAAAGCTCCCTGAATTTTTGCTTAATTTTATGCTTGATCTGTGAATTGAAATGAAATCTGGAGATTTCATTTCATGTCAGATTTTTTTTTTTTTTTTTTCTTTCTTTCACTGAATGCATTTCCTTAAACCGCCCCTCCCACCCCTTACAAACAATCTTGAAATACTCCGGTCTTTACAAGATTGCTTTAACGTGTGTGTATGTATATATGTACACTGCTCATTGAGTACACCCCAACAGTTTTGTCAGAAAACCTTTTTTCTTTCAGAATCCTTTTTTATATGGGACATTATACTACAAAATACTCCCATAAATGCGGGGAATTGATTGCACAAATTAACAAATTTTGTTTGCAGTGTTTTTCCTAACAAATTCATTCAGGACCATATTGCAAAAATGAATACACCCCAATGAAAGTCTTAAAAGCAAAGCCAGATTTTAAACAATAAAATCCTAATTAGCAAGAATTCAACTACAGGCGGGTCTAATTCATTAAACAGGTGTCCAGCAAACAGTTGATTATAAAAGGGTGTTACTTAACAAAAAAAAAGCATTTCCTGTTTTCATCCTGTCAGCAATGGCATCACATGGAAGAGAAGTGTCACAAGGCCTGAGAGTAATTTTCTTTACACAAAGGATGAAGGCTACAAGAGATCAGAAAAGCTTTACTTATCTGTCAAATTTTTGTATCACTTTTGCTACAATATTCTAACAAAGATGGAACTGCAACCATCTCACAGATGTTCAGGCCGTCCACGGAAGTTAAGTGCCTGTTCACATATATGCGGTTTGAATTGGCATCCAATCCGTATGACATGTGATATACCATTTGCTTCCTATGGTGCCTGTTCACATATGTCTGGTGCACAGCTGGTGCAGATTCAGTGTAGTTTTAAAGTCATGTCTGATTCCTGAGCAGCGGCTCCAGGTTCAAGTGTGGATTACAGGCTATTGACTTCTATGGGAACCGTTTCTAAACCGCATGTGTGTGAACAGGATAAGAACCAGAGCTAATCCTGTCCTGAACCTGATGTGAACCTGTGAACAGCTACTGTATCAATTGGCTGTGAAACCTGAACTTCATTCTGCACCGCACATGTGTGAATGAGCACTGTCACCTCAACAAGAGTGTCTTCTGATAAGGGTTGAAGAAAATCACTGTGCAAGTTCACTACAGTAGAAAGCCAAACTGGGGCGATTGTTCCCTTGACACAATACGGCGTACACTGCAGAGGAATGGCATGCATGGGTGTCCACGAAGGAAGCCTCTCCTAAAGCCCATGCACAAAAAAGCCTGCCTAGAATTTGCCAGGGCCCATGTGAATACAAAAAATATTACTGGTACTCTGGAGTGATGAAACCAAGATAAATGTTTTTGGAACTGATGGCTTCAAAACTGGTGTTGCACAGGTGAGGAGTACAAAGAAAAATGCATGGTGCCTACAGAGAAACATGGTGGCAGTGTCCTTCTGTGGGACTGCATCAGTGCTGCTGGTGTCGAGGAGCTGCATTTCATTGATGATATCAGGAATTCACAGATGCACTGTTCTATATTGAAAGAAGATGCTACCTTCACTCTGTGCCCTTGGTCATCGTGCACTTTCCAACATAATGATCTAAAACACACATCTAAGGCCACTTGCATTTCTGAAGAACAGGGTGAAAGTGATTCAGTGGCCAAGTATGTCTCCTGATCTGAATCCAGTTGAACACCTATGGGGAATTCTGAAGAAAAGTTGAACATCACTCTCCATCCAGCATCACTCTCCATGCAGCATCCAGGCTCTAAAAGAGGCTGTTCTTGAAGAATGAAAAAAGATAGATGTTGTAATATGTTGCCAGCGTGTTCATTCCATGCCTAGCAGACTTGGTGCTGTCCTTACAAATCATCATGGACTTATACAAAATACTAGATGTAGTAGTTTTTGTTGTGGGGTGTATTCATTTTTGCAGCAACTATTGAGTCAGACCAAAGATTTTGTAATCCAAGTTATATTAACAACCTTACTGTTGTGTAATGAGCTAAACAAATGTTCTATAAAACTCAGTTTTTTTTTAAAATTGTGGAAAATGTTTGTGTTCATTGAGATATTGATTAAAATCTTTTTAAAAGGGGTGTACTTAGAGGTGTGTATTATATATTCTCCAAACCTGGTTTAGAGGCACTCATGGAAGTGAACAGACTGTTCTTGAGAAAAATGGACCGAGCTTCATCAAAATGTTGACAATAAAAACACTGCTGTTTTTTATCTTCCTCCTCTGCAAGACCTGTGAGTGCCTCTAAACCAGTTTTGGATTTATATGGATTTCTTTGTGTGAGTACCTGGGCATTTATCCCAGTGCCGTGGCTATCTTTTGGAACCATATAGATATTAAAAAAAAAAAAAAAAAATCAATATCTATATATTACATCTTCCACTAATCTTGATTTATATTCATTTAGTGAATGAAGTACAGAAAACGATGGCAGTGGCAGAGTCTGAGATTGCACAGGAATCCAGTGTGCAAAGTATCAGCGAGGTTATTAAATCTGCCCACAAGAAAAAAGGCAGGCCATCCAAGAATTTGCCTGCTCAACCAGAATCTGGTGAGTTAGTCATAAGGTAGTGAATTTGACTTTTCAGATAGGAGTGTATCAATACTTATTTAAATGTATTTCTTCTAAACTTTAACATTCGTATTGTAATAGGGTAAATATGTTTACCACTCATTGCTGGTTCACTGAGCTGTCAAACCTATTAAGTCATCTTAAATCAAAGAAAAATAAGATTCAGGCACTGCCTCTCTGCCTTGTCCCTTCCAGCACTCACTAGAGCATTTAGCTCAGGCTTTCTGCGGCATGCTGAGAGGCTGAACCAGATGCCAGTCAGGCATCTGGGTGGATCCTGACAAAGTTGAGATTCCTCCAGAGCCTTGGCCAGCTGTGTGGAGTCAGCTGACAACGGCCCGCTATTGGTTGAATATGGGCTACAAGAGTGTAGAACTAAATGCTCTCCTATGACCCACAGGAGAGGTAGGACTAAAAGAGCTTTTATTCTCATTTTCCTCTTTTTTGAGGTGTAAAAAAAAAAAAACCCTCCCAGTTGCAGAATCTCTCTTGACCCCCCCCCCCCCCCCCCCCTACAAATACCTGAGTCCTCTCGCATTCACAGGACAAGGCAGCAGCAAGAATCATTGGTTCCTGCTGCTGTCAATCAAATCCTTTGAGCAGCGGGGCTGAGCCGTGCTGTCTATGGATGAACATAGCCTGGCTCAAGAGCAAGCCTGCACATGTGCCCCCATAGGAAGTGACTTCCTACGGTGGCGCAAAGATCCAAGAATGCTGGCGGGGGACCCTAGAAGAGATGGTTTGGGGCCACTTGTGTAATACCATTTGCATAGAGCTAGTATCTATAACATGGTGTGTGTGATATATATTTTTGTGTCCTATATTGCCATTACAGAAATGTATGAATTGTAAAGGTTAAGTATTTTCAGATTTCTAATTTTGTGCACACGACTGAGAATCTAATGTTTTTAATTTTACAGAAATGTCTAAAGAATCTACTGCAATTCCTGAAGCAACCTCACCTTCTCTAAGGGGAAGATCTAAAACCACTCCTGTAATTCCTGAAGCAACCTCACCTTCTTTAAGAGGAATATCTAAAACCACCTCTGCATTTCCTGAAGCAATCTCACCTTCTCGAAGGGGAATATCTAAAACCACCCTCTAATTCCTGAAGCAACCTCGCCTTCTCGAAGGGGAATATCTAAAACCACCTCTGCAATTCCTGACGCAACCTCGCCTTCTCGAAGGGGAATATCTAAAACCACCTCTGCAATTCCTGAAGCAACCTCGCCTTCTCGAAGGGGAATATCTAAAACCACCTCTGCAATTCCTGAAGCAACCTCACCGTCTCTAAGGGGAAGACCTAAATCCACCCCTGTAATTCCTGAAGTAATCTCACCTTCTCGAAGGGGAATATCTAAAACCACCCCTGTAATTCCTGAAGGAACCTCACCTTCTCTAAGGGGAAGACCTAAAACCACCCCTGTAATTCCTGAAGCAACCTCACCTTCTCTAAGAGGAATATCTAAAACCACCTCTGCATTTCCTGAAGCAATCTCACCTTCTCGAAGGGGAATATCTAAAACCACCCCTCTAATTCCTGAAGCAACCTCGCCTTCTCGAAGGGGAATATCTAAAACCACCTCTGCAATTCCTGAAGCAACCTCGCCTTCTCGAAGGGGAATATCTAAAACCACCTCTGCAATTCCTGAAGCAACCTCACCGTCTCTAAGGGGAAGACCTAAAACCACCCCTGTAATTCCTGAAGCAACCTCACCTTCTCTAAGGGGAAAACCTAAAACCACCCCTGTAATTCCTGAAGTAATCTCCCCTTCTCGAAGGGGAATATCTAAAACCACCCCTGTAATTCCTGAAGCAACCTCACCTTCTCTAAGGGGAAAACCTAAAACCACCTCTGTAATTCCTGAAGCAACCTCACCTTCTCGAAGGGGAATATCTAATACCACCCCTGTAATTCCTGAAGGAACCTCGCCTTCTCTAAGGGGAAGACCTAAAACTACCCCTGAAGTATCAAAGGAGCCTCAAGCTTCTGAAAGTGATGTGACATCACCTCTGCGTAAAGGAAGACCTAAAAGCACTGTTCTATCTCCTGTAGCTGATAGTGTAACTTTACAAGTAGATGAGGGAGCTATTTCACAAATACAAACCGAATTTGTTTCTAATGAGGTAATGTCAACTTCCCGTAGGGGAAGACCTAGAAGTGCCACTATAACTCCTAAGGAATCTGTTACTGAAGTGACATCACCTACACGAAGTGCAAGAGCTAGTGCAACTGTAGCAAAAGAGAACCTTCCTGTTGAGGAAATGACTTCACCAACACGTGGAGGAAGACGTAGTGCAAGTTTGAAAGCAGCAGAAGAATCTCATCCTGATTCCCAGATTACATCGCCTACACGTAGGGGAAGGCCTAGCCTAACTGCAGCAGTAGAAAAAGATCTATCTTTTTCTTCACCGACACATAGAGGTAGACCTAGCACAACTTCCGAAGTTGCAAAAGAACCACATTTGGATTCTTCTGATAAGATCATTTCACCTAACCGTAAGGGAAGACTTAGCACAGCTGAAGCTCCTAGTGAGTCCGTTCCAAATGAGACTCTGACTTCACCTTCTCGTAGAGGAAGGACTAGTACAACTACAGGAGAGCTGAAAGATTCTCAAGTTGCTTCTGGGAAGATAACTTCACCTGCACGAAGGGGAAGACCAAGTTCCACTGCAGAAGCTACCAAGAAATCTGATAAAACCTCTGATGTACAGATGGCTTCTCCATCCAGTAGTAAAAAACCACGAAGCGCTCCTGAGGAGCTTAAATCTCATGTTTCTGATGCCAAAGTGGTTTCACCATCACGCAGGGGAAGGTCTGTAGAAGCAGCAAAGGAATCTGTTGCTAATGAAGTGTCTTCACAGCGCAGAGGAAGACCTAAGATCACAGAAACGATACCCAAGGAACTGGAACCAGCTTCAGATGAAAAAGTTAATACTAGAGGGACACCCCTGAGGACAGAAGAGATTTCCAAACAATCTACATTTGTTGCAGCTGTAACTTTACAGGCTCGTAGAGGAAGATCTAGGGATCCTGTACAAGCACACAAAGACTCTAATCAAGTTGCGAAGGCTGTTGTGACCTCCCCAGCACACACTAGAACATCTAAAGGCACAGTGGAAATGTCCAAGCAATCTTCAATTGAGAAGGAGACTCCACAGACACATCGAGAACACTCGAAAAGAACTGCAGATGCACCTAAGGAGCCAATCTCTGGGGTTTCTTCATCCCGTAGAGGACGGTCTAAAGCCTCTGCAGAACTGCCAAATGAGTCTCCGATAGTAACTGAAGAAGCACCTACAACTCGCAGAGGAAGAGCAAAAATATCTGCGAAAGTTCCCGAAAAAGTTCCCGATGTGTCTCAGACACGTAGAGGAAGGGCTAAAGCAAAGACTGATCTCCCTGAAGAGCCTGTTCCTGCTGCAAGTGGAGACCTAACATCTACACGCAGGGGAAGATTTAAAGCTGCATCAACGATTAAAGAGCCTGTTCTAGAGGAGAGTGGTGATGTAACGTCTCCTGTACGTAGGGGAAGAACAAAGGTTGCAGAGGAACCAAAAGAGCCTTCTCCAGCAGCAAGTGATGTAGTTTCCCCTACACGCAGAGGAAGACCTAAAACTACAGATATTCCTAAAGAGCCTCTTCCAGCAGCAGGTGATGTGACTTCTCCCACCCGAAGAGGAACAAAGATTTCAGAACCACCTAAGGAGCCTGTTCAAGCAGAAAGCAATGCAACCTCCCCTGCACGCAGAGGAAGAGCTAAAGCTGCAGAATTGCCTAAAGAGCCTATTCCAAAGGAAAAGGGTGATGTAACCTCTCCTGTACGTAGGGGAAGAACAAAGGCTGCAGAGGAACCAAAAGAGCCTGCTCCAGCAGCAAGTGATGTAGTCTCCCCTACACGCAGAGGAAGACCTAAAACTACAGATATTCCTAAAGAGCCTCTTCCAGCAGCAGGTGATGCAACTTCTCCCATCCGCAGAGGAAGAACAAAGCTATCGGAGCAACCTAAAGAGCCTGTTCCTGCAGCAAGTGATGTTACCTCTCCTACACGCAGAGGAAGACCTAAAACTACAGTTATTCCTAAAGAGCCAGTTCCTGCTGCAGGTGATGTTACCTCTCCCACCCGCAGAGGAAGAACAAAGCTGTCGGAGCAACCTAAAGAGCCTGTTCCAGCAGCAGGTGATGCAACTTCTCCCACCCGCAGAGGAAGAACAAAGCTATCTGAGCAACCTAAAGAGCCTGTTCCAGCAACAAGTGATGTAAGCTTACCTACACGCAGGGGAAGGCCTAAAACTACCGGCATTCTGGAAAAACCTGTTCCAGACAGTGCAGCAATGTCGCCTGCACGTGGTGGAAGACTCCAAAACCGTGAAGGAAGCAAAGAACCTCTTCCAGTTTCTGCTGAGGTCACGTCACCTAAAGTTCGAGGAAGATTTGCTAGGTCTACAGAAAGTAAGCCCTTTTTTTTCCTTTTTGTTTGATCTTTATTAAGTAACTGTTCTGCTTGTTTTTGGTGGGTAGGAATAGTTCTTACTTCCTGTGGGCAGCATAGTTTTTAGATGATTATGGCAACTCTAGATTTAAAATGGACTGTCCTTGCATGGAAGACTATTTGTACTTGCCTGAGCTGAAGAATCTACAGAAACCAGCAAATTTAGGGAGTGTTCATTTCCTGTTTCCTCTGCTGCGCTGTGTTGTACACCGGCTGATCCCTACATCACTACTAGGCACAGTAGTCACATGGGGGACCGAATGATCCTATCAATGAATCCAGCAGGGCACCACGATTTCCCATCCCTTTGCTGAGGGTTATGGTTTGTTTGCTTGTGTTTTTTTGGGGGGGTTTTTTGTAACTGGCTTTAAGGCCCTATGTGATGGAGATCTGCTAAATACATGATTGAAAGAAATATGCTTACAGTTTTACCTACAAAAGTATCTGATTTTTGCCGGCCTGTCCTGGGTTGCTTACCTCTGCTAGTCCATAAAATTGGTCTACTCCTTTTAGTTTGACATTACTGTACAGAAGTGGTGATACTGGTTCAGTGAGGAGTCGGGTGTCCTAGGAAGCTGATCTAAAAAAGTTGGATTGTCTGAAGACCTACTCCAGATATAATAAAAACCTTTACAATGGGGTCCCTGCACTACAAGGGTTAAATGCTCATTAAAGTAGTTTTTATATGTATATTTGTTTAACGTAATGTATTCTCTGCATGTTAGTAAAGCTTCCACAAGTTGCTGTTCCCCTGTCCCGTTCCCCCCCCCTTAAACACCTTAACTGAGCCTGATCTCTATGAAGCAGCTCTTTCCCACTGACTTCTCGCAGGAGACGTGGGAGCCTTCGGACTTGTGTGGAGGGAGTGGAAGGCAGGACTGAGACATTCTGTTAGGCCTGGTTCACACCTTTTGCAGTTTACTTTGATTTGTTTCTGCAGTGCGGTGTTTGTTTTTTTTTTTTTTTTTTTTTTTCTGCTTCTATTTTTTTGGGTACTTTGGCAGATTAGAAAATACATCAAAAACACACTACTTGCGTGTTCTGCTGCATCCTTATTAAAGTCTCTTGAACCAAAAACCGTTTTGCTTAAAAGAAAAAAAAAAAAAAATCCTTGATCCTTTTTCTAGAAACACAGCGGCTGAAAAAAAGCATAGATGTGAATGTGTCCTAGGGTAACGTCTCCCCAGTACTGACAGGTGCACGCAACATGCTCCTTAACAGATGCTGTGGTCAATATTTAGGACACTGGCAGCTATTTGTAATGCTGCACAATAAAACCTTTATCTTTGTATAGCCAAAAAGCCAGGCTTGATCCATTTACTGACTTATGGGAAACGTTTGGACAGTTATGGGAAATTTTTTTGGCATTTCGTGAAGGCACCTCTGATAAACCCAGAAGGTATAATCTGTAGCTTTTGCTCAGTCTGGATTGAGGTTTGCATTGAACTGAGATATTTTTATATATATATATATATATATA